CTTCATAATCTAGCCCCTCCTATCCCCATGTTATACCTTACTTCCTGACACTTTACAATCCAGTGACATTGTCTTTCTTGATGTTTCATGAACAAGATACTCCATCTCCTGGCTGTGGGCATTTTCTCTGGGTGTCTCCCATGTCTGGAATGCTCTCCCTCCTTATATCTACCTACTAGCTTCCCTCGCTTTTCTTTAGTCCCAACTAAAATCCTATCTTCTACAGGAAACCTTTCAAACCCCTCTTAATTCTAGTGCCTTCCCTCTGTCAATTATTTCCTATTTATCCTCTATATAGCTTGTATACATTTGTTTGTTTATTGTCTTCCCTGTTAGACTGTAAGCTCCTTGAAAGCAGAAACTGTCTTTTTTACTTTTTTTTACCCAGTGCCTAGCACAGTGCCTGACACATAATAGGTGTTTAATAAATGTTTATTGACTCATTGACTGACTGAAACCAGTGGGAGAGAAGTATGGTGGTGAGCATTTGGCTGAGGACCAATTGGAGTGGAAAACAAAAGTATATTATGTAAATTTGCATTTTAAAGGAAAGAGGGAGATAGTGAAACTTTTTAAGCAGATGAGTGACATGGTCAAAACTGTACTTTAACATTATAACTTTGAGTGCAATATGCAAAATGAATCTGAGAGGGAACAAACTGAAGATTGGAAGATCAATGAGTGAATCAGTGTAATAATCCAAGTGAAAGGTGATGAAGGTCTGAACTAGAGTGGGAGCAGCATGAGTAGAGTTAAAGTGCTTGTGAGAGATGTTATAGAGGCAGGATTGACAGGTTTTGGCAACTGATTACATATGGGCAAGGAGGGAGGTACATGAGGGAGAGTGAAATAGTCAAGGATGACTCAGGCTTCAAGCTTGGGTGACTAAAAGAATAATAGTGCCCTCAATGAAATTAGGGAAGTTAGGAAAAAAGGGGAAAAGATAATGATATCTATTTTGGATGTGTTATGGGATATCAATTTGAAGATATTCATCAGGTGGTTAGTTCTAGGACAGGAACTCAGGGGAGAGATGAGTGTTGGATATATAGATTTGGTAGTTATTTGCATAGAGATAATAACTGAACTCATGGAAGGTGATGAGCTCACCAAAAGGGAGTTGAGAAAGACAAGAGGGCCAAAGAATGAACTCAAGGGTATAACTACTTAAAGGGATTGAGACATAGATGATGACCCAGCAAAGAAGACTAAAAAGCATGGCCAGACAAGTAAGGAAACCATGACAGTGTATTGACATAAAAACCCATGTAATAGGTTTCATTGCTCTCTTTTCTTGTGTTTTATTAAATTTTGTAGTCTTTAAGAACATATATTACTCTAAAGAAATGTACAAAAGCAGTAGCTTTTAAAGAGCCCACCTCAGTGATTGCTGATGATAGTAGCTATTGGTACCATATGGGAAAATCAAGTTTTTCAAGGCATTTAAGTTCACAATAAAATGAGTTGTATTAAATTAAAAAAAAAAGTGAGGCTAAAAAGCCCCAAATTGACAAGTTATTGCTGCAAAACAGTCTAATTAATCTCCATAAACTTAGAACAGACCTATAGAGGGATTTTTATAGATTCTTCTAGTGTGGCATAGGCTTCCTGAAGTTGGAAGTACAGTAAGAAGAGTAGTTTTAAAAGGCAGCTAATTATTCTCATGAAGAAAACATGCATGTCATAGACAAAACAAAACAAAGACTGGAGTACTGAAGCCTGGAGAAAGGTAATTTTTACTATTAAAATTCACTTTTTCACTCAAAGCCATAACAAAATCATTGTCAGAAGTCTAAATGACCCTGTAAGATCTGGGCATCTTTACCAGACATTAAAACATCCATCCTCATTTTTGGGGGAAGATTTAAAAAATTCTACTGGGCTGGAATTCTAGAGGATTATGGGGGATAGAGACATGACTCATGATTTCATTGGTAAAAAGAACTCCTGGATGAGAAATTCCCTAAACCCTAAAATTCCCCAACCAGGTTGGCTCTATTTTTTTTTTCAATTAGTCTTGCCTACAACACTGAAAGGCTAAGTGACTTATTCACCTAGTGTCATAAACCAGTATGTGTCAGAGGTGAGACTTAAACCTAGGTTTTTCAGGCTCTGAGTCTGATTTTCTAAATGCTACCGCATGCTACCAAATATAATAATATATGAAGAAGCAGAATCATTCTGGAATCACAGAAATTCCCAAATGAAGATGGAATACTATACACCATACTATGTACACCTTATACCTTTGCACATGTCATGAAAGGCTAAAGAGGTAGAGAAAACCATGTATCAACAGTGTAAGAACTCACTTGATTGAAGTATCACTAAAAACTTGTGGAATAAAATCAAGGCTAGATAGGGGGAAATGGATAGTTCATCAAAGGTATAATATCAAATGTGATAAAGATTCAGTGAAAGAATGTGTCAACATCTTGTGAACTCCAAAGCTGAATCATATATGACAAATGATTGCAGCAAAACGAAGATATATTTCATATTAGAAAGATATTTTAAGATGTTAAAAGTTTTAAGGCTTATTTTGTCTTAATAAATATAATTATTTTCCTTTATTCCAGGCCATAGAGTTCAACCTGCACCTAAACAGAAACACTCTTTAAAATATCACGAACAAGTGTCTATCCAGCTTCCACTTGAAGATATCCAGGTAGCAAGAACCCACTATCTTCCATTCATGTTTGGAGAGCTCTATCATTAAGATTATGTTTACATCAAGCCAAAATCTCCTTCTTGCAATTTACATAGGGAATTATAAGATTTAGAGTTGAAAGGTACTTCAGTCTGATTTCATCTAGCCTCTTAGATAAGAAAGATAAAACCTAGAGAGAATTTACTGGCCCAAGGTTATGAATACGAGCCAAGATTTGAACTCATGTCCTCATTCAAAATCCAATGATCTTCCAATATGCCATGCTACCTCCTAGCTGTTCATTCTAGTTCTGTCCTCTGGGACTGAGCAGAACCAATCTAATCCCTTCTTCATGACAATCCTTCAAATATTTTAAGATAGCTATCATGTTCCTTCAATAAGCCCCCTCATCTCCAAACTAAATGTTTCTGTTTAAGAAAAAAACAAGGCCTATTAATCAATCTCTGACCCACCCAATCATAACTGTACTAGATCAATAATAATTCCTGTGTGTGCCCAAGGAAAACACATATTGTGATTTTTTAAAAATCTAAAATTCAACAATTCCCTAGTATTTATTAACCTGAATATAATTGGTTCCTGAACATAGTCTTCTCTCTGAAAATGGTAGGTAGCTATGGTATCAGTGGAAAGATTATTTTACATCAGAAAACCTGGGTTCAAGTCCTTTTCTGCCATTTACCAGTTATATGATCACAGGCAAGTGATTTAACATATCTAAGTCTTTCTCCACTTTTGTAAAATGGGGATAATATACAATAACCTCATAGGATTGTTGTGAAAATTAAATAAGATGATGGATGTAAAGCACCACACAAAATAAGCTATAATTAACATAATAAAATGTTATATTATCATTACATACCTCTGGAAGGATAATTATAATATAAGCACCTTTAGATCAAGGACTGTTGATTTTAATTTTTGTATCAACAGCACCAACCACTAGGCCTGCCATATAGGAAATGCTTAGCAAATTTTTGAAAGATTTATTTTGGTGAAAAAAATTTATAAATATACACTGAAAAATAATTACACAAAATTTCTTCTCTGAGGCCTCATCATGTTATGGAGATGACTTGAATTTTCAAATACTCTGCCAGAAGAGAACAAGCTCTGGCAAATTCTACCCAAAATTACTGTATAAAAAAGTTATGATGAAAGCTTTTTTTTTCTGTTGCTTACAATTCAAATAAACATTTTATTCATTTTTACTGTGCTTGGATTTTTAGTGATGCAGATGATAATAGATTACACTGAAGTTTTATAAAAGCCAGATTTTTTTTGGAGTTGGGGGAAGAGATTGTGGCCCATATTTGGACCAATATAGTATATCATAAAAAAAAATTTCTCTATAGAAATAATTTCCCTTTTTGTCTTGTACATTGAGTTAGAGTTGTAGGCAAAAAAAATGATGCATTTTGTACATTAGAAAGAAACATTCTTCTCCTTCAAAGGAGGATTAGGATTTAAATTTTGGGAGTCTCCATTCCTGAAATATAGAGCCTCATGTAAGTTGGGGATGTTGGAGGTAAAAAATCTATGAAGGCAAATACTAATGAAAGGAAAAGAAAATACGAAAAAAGTATTTCCAAATGTCATAAAATGGTTTGGGGGTTTCTAATAGGACTTATTACAATAAAATAATACAGATGATCTCTTATAACCCTGAAAGGGGCCAGCAGGGAATGGGAGGACTTGGGTCACTACTAGGGGATGACCCAGGGGCTTTGGGGGCCCCTCATCATCTCTCTATCATGACCTCTGTGATAAAGGCCCTGGGGGAATCTAAGCCTCTATATAATGGGCATAACACTTGTGTAATCTACACAAGTTGTGAAGATCTACTGATGTAGATCTACTGATATAGAGTTATTTTAATTCAAAATATTTTGTGGCCCATTCGGTGAGTGTCTAACAAATAGGTGCTGTGATTCCATGGTAATGTCCCTACCCTACCCTCTGCAGTGAGGGGGTGGGGTATGAGGTGGAACACAGTCATCCACTGTCTCTGTGAATGGCTGACATACAAATCCCTGAGGTCACTGCTCTTCAATGCCAGTTCTCTCACCTTGTTGTCCAGGAAGACAAGGAGGTCAGTGGATAATGCCTACTATTTTGAGTGACTTACGTTTTTTCATCCTGCACCTCCCCAACTTAATTTTATCCTCATCATCCTCATCTTCGTGCCCAGGCAGATACTGGATGTCAGCCTTGTGGGCTTGCTACAATGTGGCTGGTGAGGACCAATTTGTTATAGAATCCTGGGACCACTTTATGGGTGGCTAAGACAGCCCCAGAGACTGGCCCACCCAACTGATACCCTCACCTTGTTGTCCAGGAAGACGAGAATGTTGGTCCTTGCTTGGCGAGCCTCCTGCTGCAGTAGGTTAAGCAGGTGCTCTTGGAAGGCTCCTAGCCGAGGGAAGAAGCGTCCTTTGTTCCAGCAGTTGTTCATGCGGACCGAATCCACTCCCAAAGGACGCAGGGAACGAATGCTGCCCTCATCGAAGATCACTTGCTGTGAGCGGGACAGCAGCAAACCCCCTGCTCTTGCGTGCAATGTCGTCAGTTTCAGCACCAGACCCGAGCGGACAGCAACCACTACACCGGCTAGTCCCACAGGGCGGGCACCCACCCCCAGTACAGGCACATTGGTCCAGGGCCCGATCTCACATAAAGATGCAGGCTCCTTTGGGCCCCAAGCACCCGAAGGCTCCCGGAGCTCCTCCAGCTCTGCTTCTGCCTCTGCCTCGGCCTCAGACTCCGTCTCTATCTCGGGTGCTGCATCTCGCTTATGTTTGAGCTCCGGCTCCTGCTCAGTCTCCCGCTCCCGCACCTCCTTTGCTTCTGCCACTGCCTCTGCCTCTGCCCTTGTCTCTGCTCTTTCGTCTGCCCCTGCCTCTTGGTCTGGTTCCTCTTCCTGCTGCTGAGCCAGATCCAGGACCCTCCATCTCAGCTCTACTACACTAGCCCACAACGCAGCGTATAGCAGCAACAGAGCGGCCAACGTGGGGCCTAGTGCTATATCCTGCCCTGACCACTCCCCCTTCCAAGTCCATGTCCATGTCCATGTATCGGTCTCTGGGCTCGATCCGCTCCCGGTCGTAGGCGACGGCCCCCCTCCAGCTCCAGCCACTGCCACAGCCAGGATGAGGGCTTCAGGCCCCATGTTTACGGCTGCCAGACCTCCAGCCCCGGCAGGGGCCTGTCCACCCATGACCTCCATCTTCAGAGGCAGCTGTGCACACTCAGCCTGGGCCTCAGCTCCCTTCTCTTTCCTGCCCCACTTCAGCTGCGGCCTCACGCCTTCTTTCTCTCCCTGACCTGCTTAGGCTGTGGCAGCCTCGGTCTCAGACTTCTCGGCTCAGCGCAGTACCCACCTTCCACTCTTCTCCACCGCTGGTAGCTCCTCCTCCTCTTCCTCCTCCCACATCTCCGCCCTTTCCTCCTCTCCCTATGCCTCCTCCGACTGCTCCCCCTCCTCCTCCTGGATTAGATGTTTATAGAATTTTTATATTTTCTGTCCTAGGTTTTCTTCCAGTTCTGACATTCTATGCTCTATGTATTAAAATTCCTCTCCCTCTGACAGATTATATTCTAAGGATCACTGAAGCACTTACAGTCTATATTTTCCCAGGTCTGAAAGTCTATGACTCAATCTACTCATCAGGTCACTTTGGTCTAAATTGTAATTCTCATTCCTTCCAGAGAAAAGAGAGGCCATGTTGTATACATATCATCTCACTCCAATAGAGGATAAGCTCTTTGAAGGCAGGGATTCATTCATTTTGGTCTTTGTAAGCTCCATGCCTAGTTCAGTGCTTGGTTCTAGTTGGCATTTAATAAATGCTTGTTATAGGAAGGAATGATTACTATTTTCTAGACCCTAAGTCCTGGCTCTGACTAGCAAGTTCTTTTTTCTGGGCCTCAGTTTTCCCATGTATAAAATTAGGGAGGCTGATGAACCATTTCGGTTTTGATAATTTTATAGAAAAACCAGTCACTGGGTTAAGCATGTAGATACCAGCCTATGACTTTAACCACCCTATCCTTTCTTTCCCTACTGGGCTCCTGAGAAAGCAAAGCCAGCCCAGTCAGGGATGTAGGAAGGGATCCCTACAGAAACTAAGTAACTGTTGCTAATGAGGAAGATCTAATATCCTGACCAGGAATGCTCTCTCCACCTAATGCAGAACTGTTGCTCAATCTCTGTCCAGGAGGGTATTTAGTATCAGAATAGAAAAATCACTGGGGCCAGATGGAGAAAAGTGTCTCATAGAATCCCATCCTGGTGCTTTGGACATCCATCCTCCTAAGTCAAATAATAATAATAATTAATAATAAATTATATTTCAATATAACTGAGTTTTTTTAATTAAGAAGCATCTATTTGACTTCCCTTTCACCTTCCCCTTCTATTGAGAAAGACAAAAAAAAAAAGAAAACCAAAACCTTTGCAACACATTTGTGTATTCAAATAAAGCAAATTCCTATGTCAGCCATAAGCAAAAATGTATGTGTCATTTTTCATATTGAATCCATCACCTCACTGTCCAGTATACCTCAAAGAAACCTCTACAAAGCTTGGGCTCTGATCCAAGAATCATGCAGTGGCATGTGAATTACTTGGGGCAAGTGATGATTTTGATATGGTTTAATTCTATGATATCAGTGTTCATGTGTTCTTCCACTTACAATAGGCTAACTCAGAACATCTGACTTTGACTAGATGAACCTGAATTGAACTGCTTTTCCCACCTTTGGCTAGTTCCCTGTTCCTTTTGGCTAGGACTTTTGGTCCTCTGATCATTGGTCCTCTGGAATTGAAGTTGGTCATTGCATTGATCAGTTTTTAAGTCTTTCAAAGTTGTTTAATAATAACAACATTGTAGTTAAAAAGTTGTTGTCCTAGTTCTATTCATTTCGCTAGATCAGTTCACATAAGTTTCCCCAGATTCCTCTGCAATACAATAGCATTCTGGTACAGCCATTCTCCAATTCATGGGTACCTTCTTAGTTTCAAGGTTTTTTTTGTCACCTCTAAAGGGTTGTTGTAAATATTATTATATATATGAGTCTTTTTCCTCTTTCTTTGATCTCTTCAGGGGTATAGGCCTTGTAATGGTATGGCAAGGTAAATAGTACGCACAATTTAGTGATTTTTGTGGGGCATAGTGCCAAATTGCTTCCCAGAATGGCTGGGCCAATCCGCAGCTCCACCAGCTACTCATTAATGTGCTTGTTTTCATGTAGTCCCCTCCAACATTTGTCATTTTCATTTTTGTCAACTTTGCCAATCTGCTGACTGTGAGGTAGAATCTTAGAATTGTTTTAATAAGCATTTCCCTACTTATTAGAGATTTGAAATACTTTTCCATTGGTCTGTTGGTAGCTTGAACATCTTTCCTTGAGAACTGCATGTTCTTATCCTTCAACAATTTTTCTTTTGTGGGAAATAGCTCTTATTTTTATGTATTTGAATCAGTTCTCTCTATATTTTGGATATGAAACCTTTATCAGAGAAACTTGCTACACACACACACAAACACATACACTTATTTTGCAGTTAACTATTTCTGTTCTAGTCAACTACAATGTTATGTTTGGTATGGTTTGTATAAGAGCTTTATAATTTTATAAAATTAAAAAAAATTGTTCATTCTGTCTTCTACGAACTTCTGTATTCTTTGTTTGGTCATGAATTTTCCCACTATCCATACATCCGAAAGGAAAATTTTCCTTGGTCCTTTAATTTTCTTATGGTAGACCTTTCATATCTAAATCATGTGTGCAGTTGGAACTTATCTTGGCATATAGTGTGAGGTATTGCTCTAAATTCTAGATCTAATTTCTCCTTGGTTACTTTGCAGTTTTTCTAGCAGTCTTTGTCAAACGGTGAATCCTAGTTGCTATGGATTTGGCTTTATTAAACACTGGACTAGACTATTAACTTAATTTGTTTCTGTTTGTTATGCACATAATATGTTCTATTCATAGATCTCTATTTTTTAATCAATACCAAAATCATTTTGATGACTACTGTTTGGTAGTACAGTTCAAGACCTAGTACTGTTTGGTCCCTTTCTTCTTGCATTTTTATTTACTTTGAAACGCTTGACCTTTTGTTCCTCCAGATAAATGTTCTTTTTTTTTTTTCCTATCTCTATAATATAATCCTTTGATAGTTTGCTTGGTATGATACTGAATAAGGAAATTAATTCAGGTAGTATATTATCATTTTTATTATAATGCCTGAGCCTACTTGTGAGTAATTAATTTCTGTAATTATTCAAGTCTGTCTTTATTCCTATAAAGAGTGTTTTGTAGTTGTGTCTTGGTAGATATATGTGTGTTTTGGTAGATAAAGATTTCCAAATATTTTATACATCCTGTAGTTATTTTAAATAAAATTTATCTTTTCACCTCTTTCTTCTGGGTTTTGTTTATATTATATAGAAATGCTAATGATTTATGTGGCTTTATTTTATATTTTGCAACATTACTAAAGAAATAATTGCTAATTATTTTAACTAAGTTTTAGTTTTTTCTGAGTAAACAACCCCATCAACTACAAAAGTGACCATTCTGCTTCCTCTTTGCCTATGATTATTCATTTAGTTTTTTTTTTATTTATTGCATTTCTAACATTATATCAAATAGTAATGGTGATAATAGCCACCCTTGATTCACCCTTGATTTATTGATAGCCCCCAAGGTTTATCTACATTATCTTTAATGCTAGCTGTTGGTTTTAATAGTAGTAGTAGTAAGTAGATAAATAATACTGATCATATTAAGGAAAAGTCCACTGATTCTTTAAAAAAAATTTTAAACAAAAATGCATGTTGTATTCTGCCCAAAGCTTTTTCTACATTGTATGATTTTTCTTTTTCTTATGATTGATTTGGTATATTATATTTATAGTTTTCCTATTAATCTATTGAACCAACCCTACATACCTGGTATAAATCCAACCTGGTCATAGTGTATAATCTTTGTGAAATGTTGCTATTGCCTAATATTGCTAATACTTTACATTAAATTTTTTTCATCAATGTTCATTAAAGATATTGGACTATGTTTTTCTTTCTTTGTTTTGATTCTTCTAGATAGTTGAAGATAGCTATCATGCCACCTCGGTGTATAGAGTCTCAAACCTGAAGTAAAGAAGACTTGAGTTCAAATTATGGACTCATACACTTAGTAGGTATATGACTCCGGGCAAGTCACTTAACCATTATCTGCCTCAGTTTCCTTATCTATAAAATTGGGATAATAATAGTGCCTTCTTATGGGGTTGTTGAGAAGATAAAAAAGAGATAATATTTGCGAAGCACTTTGCCAACCTAAGCACTGTATAAATGCTAGCTATCACCACCACCACTACCACCATTATTATTGCCATTATTATTCAGGATTATTTTCCAGATTTGGACTTTGCCTTAGGATGAGGCTTTGTATATTTCTAGAGAGAATATTGGGGCCTTGTATGGTCCTGATCTGAATCATCTGGGGCCCTGCGGCTATATTCTTTAGTCAATGCCTGCTCTGATCTTTAAGGATCACAGAGATAGCTCATGCCAGGGAGCTGCAATATTTCAGAGGGCCCTAATTGGTTCGATTTAGGGGATGATTTGACCTCCTTAGAATTCCTGAGCCCTGTACTGTGTTTTGTAACTTAGCAGCAGAACTACAGACTTGCCCTAAGGTGGAGCCCCAGCAGACAGTTGTTTGTCCCAGACTCTACCAGCAAGCTGGAAAACACTATAGTTTCAAAACAACAGACCTATAGGCTGACCCCTGGTCCCATAGTTTCTGTCCTGGTCATTTGACTCTTGGCCAAGTCCTAGATCATGAAGCAGCTAGGTGGCACTGTGGATAGAGTGCCATACATCTTCCTGAGTTCAAGTCCAGCCTCAGACACTTACTGTCTGTGTGACCGTGGGCAAGTCACTTTGCCCCATTTGCCTCAGTTCCTCTTCTGTAAAATGAGCTGGAGAAGGAAATGGCAAACCATGCAGGTATCTTTGCCAAGAAAACCTCAAATGGGATCATGAAAGGTCAGAAACAACTGAAATGACTGAACAACAACAGAGACATATTTACATATCCCTATTGGATAGGAGGATGTATCAGGCTCCAGAGGCCCTACTTCTAGGCTCTGGTTCCCTTCTCCTAAGAGGAACTGAGAACCCGAGGAGGGGCCCAAGATAGCCAGGCTCTGAGCTTCCTTTATTATCTTGCTTCTACCTTTCTGCTAGCTTTGGAGATTATCAATCTGAGGGATGTCCACGAAAGACTTTTGGGGCAGCTAGGTGGCACAGTGGTTATAGTCCCAGGCCTTCTTCCTCCCCTATGCCCCAGCCACGCT